TGAGTTTTGTTCCACATTGTTCTCCCTCTCTATCCAGGATCTCCTACATCCCTTCCAAGTGGATGACAGTGGTAGCCAGGCACCATCTAGTTCTTGAGCATGGGCTCTTGAGTCAGGCTGCTTGATTTCAAATGCCAGCCCTATGTCTTATTAACTGTGTGATCTTCAGCCACTTCTTTAACCTAAATAGAATTTTCTTAATTTGTGAAATGACAAAAATAATAGTACCTACTTCATTGAGTTGTTGTTTCAAATGAGAAAAAGCATCTAAAACTCTTGGCACTATGTCTGGAACATGGTAAGTATGACATACATGTCACCTGTCAGGAAATATATGATGACAGTGATTTAGACGTTTTTAAAGAAAAGAAAATGGAGAAATGCTCAACACATAACGTCAACTGAAAAGCCAGAATTCAGGTTGTATATACCTACGGCCATTGAGTTGATTCTGACTTCTAGTGACCCTGTAGGAGAGAGTAGGACTGCCCATAGGGTTTCCAAGCCTGTAAATCTTTACAGGAGCAGACTGTCTTATCGTTCTCCTGCAGCTGGTGGATTTGAACCGCTGACATGGTTAGTAGCCAAATGATTTAACCACTGCACCACTAGAACGCCTTAGTTTATATATACAGTATGATTTCAATTTTGTGTTTTAAAGAAGATAGAAGTAGAAAAAGAAAGGGATCGAAGACATTAGCTGAAGATTAATGGTTCAGAGCACTTGGTTTATAAATGTCCAAATTATACCCATCTATACTTTCCCAATTGTCTCCAGGGAACATAAACTCATTTGTTAATACAGCTCTGCATATACTCTTAGAGAAGGAGCTCTGGTAGCATAGTGGTTAAAGCATTTAGCTGCTAACCAAAAGGTCAGCAGTTCAACCCCATTAGCTGCTCCATGGGAGAAAGATGAGACAGTCTTCTTCTGTAAAGATCGACAGTCTTGGAAACCCTGTGGTGCAGTTCTACTCTGTCCTAAAAGGGTCGCTTATGAGTCAGAATCGATAGCGGTGGGACCATACTCTTAGAGTTAAAAAGGAGCAGTGGGATCTCATAGTAACATGTGGCCTAAGAATTACATTTACCCAAGAACAGTGAATAGATTAGTTCAAGTACAGCAAGTTCAAGAGGGCAAAGGTGAAGAATGTTCAAATGTGAATTTGGACTGATGGGATCAATGAATTCTGTAGAAGGAAAAGGAAGAGAAAATAATAGAAATGAGTTCACCCAAGTGTCCAGAACTTGTGAACTAAATACCAGTTTAATTCTCTTGGATACTTTCAGGCTACCATTGTATGAGAAAAAGAAGATTTTCCTTTTTCCTCATATATTTTAAAGGATATCTTGGTGATCCAAAAAGAAAGATCAAGATATTTGATACTCATTTGTTGGCAGCACAAAAGAAGGGCAGATCTAGCCGTGCAGCCTGCTATGTGGTTTGTAATTTGTTTCCCAAGGAAACCTTAATTTGCAGCTCAGTGGGTGTCAATTCCCAAAACTGTCAATCCCTAAACCCAGACAAACTGACTGTGATACAAGGTGTGTAAAGTCAGTGTGGAGTCCTGCTTCATCATCAGTTGGTCATATAATGAAGGTTGGCGATACAAGAAATTATGATGAATTCTGTGTAAATCTTGGAACTGTTCATTTTTTTTTTTCATCTGCCTGACCCCAGATTACAATTCAGTAACAAGTAATGGGTTACAGCTTCTAAACACTGTAACAACTTCCATAGACTTGTGGAATAAGACAAGTGTTATTGATTGTAGTTCCTGTGGTTAGAGCTAAGTTAGTTCTTTGGTGTTGCAACTTGGTACTTTAAAACAAAAAAGGCAAAAATATGTGGGAGAATAAAACAGACAACTCTGTGCCTAGTAACTGACAACACAGAAATAGTATCTCATGTATAATCCCCTTTGACCTTCTGCCTTCTGGAAATGTGTGTGGAGGTCCTGTCCCTCATGAGCACTGAGGGTACAGCAACGAATAAGCAGTTTGTGCCTGCAAGGAGCTCACAGTCTCAAAAGAGCCATGTTGATGGGAACAGATCCATTCAAATCCAGCGTGGTCATGTTGTGGAGGGTCAGAGAGCAGAGCAGCTGCTTGGAGGATGTTAGGGAAGGCTTTGCAAGGACAACATATTGGAACTAGATCTGGAAGGATTCCCTAGCCAGTTAGAGAAAGTAGGAGGGGCATTTGAGGCAGAGGAAATGACTTAAGGGAAGATAGATACGTAAAGTAAGTAGCCTTGGTGGTGTACCAGTTAAGCACCTGGCTGCTTACCCAAAAGGTTGGCAGCTTGAACCCACCAGTGGCTCCATGGGAGAAAGACCTGGCAATCTGCTTCTGTAAAGATTACAGCCTAGGAAACTCTATGGGGCAGTTCAGCTCAGTCACATGGGATCACTGTGAGTCACTATCAACTCGATGGCACCCAGCAACAGTAACAACAGACATTTAATGCACAAAAATAAACAAACCGCGCAGTGATAACATTTTCAATGACACTATGTTCTTTTAACAAACATTCTCTACTTTTAGTTGTACTTCATTGTTGTTGTTAGCTGCGATGGGGTCACCTGACTTATGGCGGGCGACCTTATGCACAACTGAATGAAAGGCTACCGGGTCCTGTGCCATCGCCATGATTGGTTGTGGATCAGACTGTTGTGGTCCATAGGGTCTTCATTGGTGGATTTTCAGAAGTAGGTCTCCAGGCCTTTCTTTCTAGTCTGTCTTAGTTTGGAAGCGCCACCAGAATACGCAGGCTTCGCTGACAGACAAGTGGGGGCTGTGCATGAGGTGTGTTGGCCAGGAATTGAACCCAGATTGCTGCTGTCGATTCTTACTCATGGTGACCCTGTAGGACAGAGCAGAACCACCCTATAGGGTTTCCAAGGCTGTAATCTTTAAGGAAGCAGACTGCCACATCTTTCTCCTGAGAAGCAGCTGGTGGGTTTGAACTATTGACCTTTTGGTTAGCAGCCGAATGCTTGACCATTACACAACCAGGGCTCTTTAAATCGTTTTAGCATCCTGAAATAACGTATTTTTTAAATTATATACTCTTTTTAACTTTTTATTGTGATTTTGGTGAAAGTTTACAGAACAAATTGGTTTTCCATTGTACAATTCATACACTTGTTTCATGACATTGACTGCAATCCCCACTCTTTTCTATAGCACCAAACCTCACCATTGGCTCCCTAGATCAGTGTTTTGGGGAATTTCGTGTTAGAAGGACTGAGAAAATTCAGCAGAGAGTTAGAAAAAAGAATGACAATTAGATAAAAATTTACCATTTACTTTAAATTAAATTTCTTGCCAGTTATTTTGTTAATTTTTTTCTATCTGAATTTTGTGAATGTTTTCTACTTTTTGCAGAATATCTGGCAATATGTCTTCCCAACGGTGACGTGTGTGGATGTGGAACAGAATGGAAACACTGTGTTTCAGATATCAGATCTGTGATTCACCATTTATGTTGTGAAAACAAAAATCTGCCAGTAAGTTCTTTTTCATATACGTATAAATGTAGTAACTGCTGTATAAGTCCGTACTCTATGTAACTGCACACCTGGGAGCTTCATGCACAGGAGCTGGTGGTGTTTAGGGCCTGTGCTAAAAATCTCATGTACTCACTTTGGGAGGAAGAGTATGTCCTTTCCAAAGAATACTGCCTCTTTATTTCACTGTTTGGTATTTATAAACCAGATACCCATTGTCATCAAGTTGGTTCTGATCCATAAGTGACATTAGAGGACAGAGTAGAAAGAACTGCCCCATAGAGTTTTCAAGTAATCTTTCTGAAAGCAAATTGCCTCATCTTTGTCCCACAGAGTGGCTGAGGGATTTGAACTGCCAACCTTTTGGTTACCAGCCAAGCACTTAACCAACTGCACCACCAGGCTCCTCTTTGATTTTTATGTTCTGGAAAAATATCCTAAAGATAAAATAATTTAAATACAGTGTCATAATTAGTATGTTAGAAGCCAAGAGTTATAACAGAATAAGCCATTTCCACTCTAAAGATATTGGCAATTCTTTTTGGTACGTCACTCAATAACACAAGAAGAACAGACGTTAGTTTCTTAGCTATTTCAGTAGCAGCTAGGGATGCCACAAGAATAAATGAAGGCACTTCATTACTTGTTTACTTTCAGTAATGGTAGAATCTGGTAAAAATAATGCATATCATGAGGTTAAACTATATCTCTATATTGCATTAGTCAGAGGTATACTCTATTATTTATATGTTAGCAGGGAATCTGTTTTCTCTTTAATCCATTCTGTCTTCAAAGTGTGTTAAAACAAAACCAAACCCATTGCCATTGACTTGATTCTGAGTCATGGTGACCTGACAAGACAGAGTAGAACTGCCTCTTAGGGTTTCCAAGGTTATAAATCTGTATGGAAACAGACTGCCACATCTTTTTCCCAAGGAGTGCCTGGTGGGTTCAAACCACTAACCTTTTGGTTAGCAGTTGAGTGCCATCAAGGCCTCCTCCTCCAAATGTGTTAGAGACTTTTTTTAAAAAAAGAAAAATAGAGCATTAGAGGAGAGTATTGACTTTTGATGAAGGGTTTAACTTAATAACAATGCCTAATTTTCACTATCTCTAGAAATTCCATTTTATTCTCCCCAATTCTAGTCACTCCTGTTTCTCTCGCTGTTTTTTTTTTAATTAACTTTTTATTCTGATTTGGGTGAAAGTTTACAGAGTAAATTGGTTTTCTATTCAATTCCTGTTTCTCTTGAGTAAATTTATGGAAAGTATTTGCCCAGAATATTTGTAGCTGAGTTTATGTTTTCCTGGGAAACTGCTTGATTTCAGTGATAGCTCGAGCACCATCTGCCTGAAACAAAATCTGCTTATTTTTGACATTCCATTTTATATCCTAAAATGATTGCACCCATAACATTTAAATGTAGAGGTGCTGCCCGAAAAATGGTAAGTTGCATACTTACTTGGGCATCAGAAGAGAAACAGCATCTACTGAGTGCCTGCTGTGGATGTGACTAGGACTGCAGTAGGCCCTTGCCACGTGGCATGTGGTCTGTGCAGCAGCAGCACCAGAGAGCTTGTCAGACACGCAGAATCTCGATTTCCCACAGGATCACTGAGTCTCAATATGCAGTTTTAGGAAATCCCCAGGTGGTTTCTTTGCCCATTCACTTTTGCAAAACCCTACTCTAGGAGCTCTGGTAGCATAGTGCCTAAGGCACTTGACTGCTCACCAGAAGGCTGGTGGTTCAACCCCACCAGCCACTCCTCGGAAGGAAGGTTGGGCAATCCTACTTCCGTAATGATACTGCCTTGGAAACCCAAGGAGGGGTTGCTATGAGTCGGGGCCGACTCGACGGCAAACAACAACAACAACAACATTCTATAGCAGTGGTTGCCAACTGGGCCTTCAATCTAGATTCATTCTGATGTGACCTCTTAATGAGAATTTGCATTTCCACCCCAGATATACTGAATCAGAACTGAACTGGTTCGAAGCCCAGCTGTCAATCCTAGGTGCATATTAGAATCACCTGGGTGAACTTTTACCAAAAGTTAGTTAGCCAGCCACCAAAGAGTTTGATTGAATTTGCCAAGAATGAGACCCAAGCACAGCTATTTTTTAAATTTTATTTATTTTAAGAGTTTGTTTTACATTCAACGTTTCATGTATATTTAGTTTCACTCCCCATTTACCATGCCCAACCGTAACACAGTCTCCTCCCCTCGCTGCCCAGTAACCCTTCCCCTGTGCCCCTCGTAGTTATGCACTCCTGTGTGTCCTGCATTTCCTCCATGTGAATGTTGTCCTTCTGGTGTCCCATGCTCTATTGCTCCAAGTGATATATTTCCATAGAGTATGTGGGTGCATCACCCTGGGTTGAGTGGTCTGCATGTACATCTTGTTAACTATTGGGTTGAGAGCCAGCCCTTGGAAGTGAGCTTTATTCCAGGCCCAGAATGTATCGCAGGGCCATACATTTATTCTCCCCAATTGTATTGGGGGTCTCACCAGACTCTATTGACCAGTAATTCTGGTGATTCTTGAGTTTTTGGATTTTGTTCCACGTCTTGCCTCCCACTCTATCCAGGATCTCCAGTTTTGCTCCTTTCCAGAGTGCTTGGCACTGGTAGCTGGGCACCATCTAGTTCTTCTGGTCTCAAGGGCCATCGTGTCCTAGGGCTGATTGCTTACAAATGCCCTTGGTTTTTTGCATTCTTCTTTGCTTCCAACAGTAGGAGACCATTAGGCCAACCACAGCTTTTTTTTTTTTTTTTAAGATTTGTAGGATAATTCTAACACTAGTTGCCTGTGCGTTGGTTCCAGCTCATGGTCACTCCATGGGTAAGAGTAGGACTGTGCTCCATGGAGGTTTCATGGCAGATGATTTTGGAAGTAGATCACCAGGCCTTTCTTCTAAGATGCATGTGGAAGATGCTTTCTCTCAGTAGCTTAGTGTGTTAACCATCTGTGTCACCCAGGGACTCTTCCAACAGGTCATTGGAATTCCAAGATTCATCCCTTGGCCTTGATTGGCATTTAATTTGAAGTTCATACCAACCTAAACTAAAGCACTTGATTAGAACTAGAATCAATCAATTTAGCACTTCAGAGGGTTTGCCACATACCAAATATTTAGATTTCTAACCCTGTACCTATAATTGTCATACAAATATTAATAGCAAAGAGAAGATGAAAGGTAAAACTTCAACAGCATGGAGGAGATGTAGCACCATAATGAAGTGACAAAGTAGCTATCAGGTGGGAAGAAGATTTCTAATCTCCCAACATGCCACATATATAAGTGCCAATAGCCAAAATAAGAGACCCCAAACAGTCGCTTATTTTCTATTCTCCAAGATTCATTTTAACATAACCAAATGTGTTAGGTTAGGATTATAGATACTACATACACACACACACATTTTCTTTACATTGCTATTAAATTGTATAACATTTGGTGGTGGTAAAAGATGGTAAGTTTTTTCCTAAGCCAAAACTAGTTACTATCAAGTCAGTTCTGACTCCTGGCAACCCCACATGGATGAGTACAACTGTGTTCTGTAGGGTTTTCAGTGACTCATTTCTTGGAAGTGGATCACCAGGCCTTTCTTCAGAGACACTTTTGGCTGTACTCAAACCTCCAACCTTTTGGTTAGCAGCCAAGTACATTAACCATTTATATACCCATGCAGGACTCCATGGCAACTGTGATTTTTTCTTTCTTTTTTTTTTTTTTTAAGGCTATTGTGCAGCCAGATTTCAAAGCCACTGGGGATAGAGTAAACAAAAAGTAAAATAAATAAGCATAAACAAGAAACTCATTTATTCATTCAGTAAGCACTTAATTTGTGCCAGGAGCTGTGGTAGCACAGTGGGAAAGGCATTTGGCTGCTAAAGAAGGTCAGTGGTTCAAACCTACCAGTTTCTCCCTGGGAGGAAGATGAGGCAATCTGCTTCTTTAAAGATTTACAGCCTTGGAAACCCTATGGGGCTCAGTATGAGTCACCATTGACTCAATGGCAGTGAGTTTAGTTTTGGTTTAATTTGTGCTGACAGTTTTCATTCATTCATTAAATAGAGCTACCAAGTCCTCCAAGAAGTAGGGAGTCCTGATGAATTGCAGAAGAATCCAAACCCACATCTCTTTTAAGATAGTACTGTGGTGCACTATTGCAATTACCATTGTGGCTTTGGCCCTCCTTATCGTAGACAGTTGCTTCCCCACTGACCCAGGGGGCCCTGGTAGACAGTGGGGTATATACATCTTTTCTCACTATGGGACTTTGTTATAGATCTAATTTTGTGTTTCAGAAGAAACATGCTGACAGAAATGAAGGCCCAGTCAATGCTGATCCGTCAGTGTCTTCAGAACCCAGTGGCCAGAGGGATGGTGGTGAGAGTAGTTCTCAGAAAAATAATGCTATCCCTGAAGCAATGGAAGAAGCTGCAGCTAACAATTCACACATAGATTTTGACACCCTGGGTGAGTTTGCTTGTTTTAAATATGTTATTGTGGTTTAGGTGAAAAGTTTACAAAGCAAATTAGTTTTGCATTCAGCAATTTATACACAAATTATTCTGCGACATTGGTTGCAATCCCCAAAAGGTGTCAGCATTTTCCCATTTCCATCCACTCAGTTTTCCTACCCCTTCCTGCCTTCAGGAAGCAAAAAAAAAAAAAAAACAACTTTGTTTTTGGTAAATGTTGCCCTTTTGGTCTCCTATGGTTCATTGTTTTGAGGAGTATGTTCCTCCTGGATGTTACTGTTTCACTTTATAGGCTGTCTTTTTGTGGCTGAAAGGTGGTCTCCTGGAGTGGGTTCAATTCTAAGTTAGAAGGGTCTCTAAGGGCCATAGTCTCAAAGATTCCAGCCCTGGATGAGTTTTAAAATAAGCTTGTCTCCATGACAAATGTTACATCTAGGTGGCACATTTTGGGGGCATCATTGTACTGTTCTCTCTCCTTTTACATGTTTGAAACTTCCACAATAAAAAAATTGAAAGCAGCTAATCCCTTATATTAACCCTTTTGTGACCTGTGGGACAAAATAGCACCATCAACATTTTCAACCTCTCAGGGTTTCTTGGGAAGCTGCTATACCAGTTGTAGTATGTGCTACTGCCTGGTGGATATCTGAATAACTATGTGAATCTGAAGAAATGGGCCTTACTCCACCAATCCTACCACCAGAATCCACTTGGGACACATGTGTCCCACATGATTGTATCAAAATTCATATTACCTCCCAACATTTTTTTCCCCTTGATTTCAGCATGCCTTCCATTATTGAAAATACATGGTATCAACAAAAAATTCAAAGCAGAAAACAATTTGGTTATGAAAGGGTTAATAACTTAATGAACTGTAGATACCAAGTTTTGAAACTGACAGTTTTTAGTGTTAAGCCAAACCTGACGGTTTGACTTCTAAAGGCAGTGCTTGACCAATTCATTTGAACAATGTGAACACCTTGATTAGGCACCTTCCTCCCCAGGGAAGGAGGGAGGAGCTACAGCTGGGATGAAGTTCATGGGCTTCTTCTGTGTGCATGGTACAGTTCAGGTGCTCAGGAAATAGCTTTTGCATGAATTCATGGATCCCATTTCTAGGGCCTTGTATTCCCACGGAAGTAGATAGCCCAACCTTCCTTCCGAAAGTATAGAACATTTCATTCAATGTGTACCACAATTTATTTAATTACCTCCCTCTGTTTTTGTTTGCTTGTTTTTGCTTTTGGTTTGAGAGTTTTGGGGAGAGAATTATAAATCATGCTGCCCCTTCCCCAAAAAACCCCAAAACTTCATTTGGATAGCTTTTTCCATATTTTGGATTATTTTCTTAAATTAGGATCTCAGAAATTGAATTACCAGTTTCAAGAGTAATCTTGCTTTCTGACCCTTGATAAATATTGCTAGATTAGTCTCCCAGAGTGAAGTCTTTGGACTTAGTGAGTGAATTTTTAAATAATTGAATCTCCCTTGGTAAACATCGAATCTAAGTAATTTAACAGTTTATATTGCTATTCATTAAGTGATGTGTGTTCTAAGATGAAAAAATATTTTTATTGACTTGTAAGAATCACATTGTAGTTCTCTAATATCTTTTCTTCATAACTCTATAAAATAAGAATATTTTCAATTGGGGTTGAATCACTGTGGACTGAAGATATTATAATAAAAGCTGTAAAGCTGAGAAGTGAAGACAAGCCTAAAATTTATTTCTCATTCTGAATACAGTATCTAAAATGAGTCAGCAATTTGTTGATTTTTAAATGATGACTCTTATACCTAAAAGAAAATCTACGTTTTTATATTACGTCTATTTCAGTAAGAATCATAGTGTTTATTTTTTTGAGGAATAGCATTTTTATTTTAAGTAAGACAACAATACATTTTAAATTACTTAGAATTTCTTACTAAATTCAATTTTAAAACTTACTGCAATCTGTAAGGTAGTGGTATAATAAGTCTTCCTTTGAACAATTGAAGCCTATGTAATCATATCTGCAATGATTCCTGTTTCATTTCACATGCTGTCTCAGAATAGACTAAAAACTTACGGCTTTAATTTTCTTAACCTCTCAAATTCCTGAGTCTAAAAATTTAGAAAAATCAACCTTTATGTCATAGCTTGTTAAAGAAAATACCAAAGATGCCAGTTGAACATCTTCCATGAAGGTGATCATCTTTCTTTTTTCCTTCTAGAATATTTTGGAAATCCAAGTAGAAATATACTGATGTCAAGTTCAATACTTAATACAGCAAGAGCAAAGTCTTGCCCAAAGCTGTGCTCTAGATACCTCATTCGCAAACTTTTCCCAAATGAAGTCCTGGTGAGGAGTAACGTTCGTGGCCATGCTGGGTATGGCATGGCTGCCCTCAACTCCAACAAGATAAATGCTCTCCGAGGTTTGTTATGTTCAGAGTATGTGAGAATAAATAAAAGCAATTTGTGTCAGAGAAAATCAGCAAAAAGAAAAATTTGTGGAGTTTGTGTATGTTATGAGGCCACATGGAGCTCTTCCTGAAATTCACTCATCAGACTATAGCAAGGAACAAGTTCTTGAGTGGTGTTTCTCTTTGCATTTGGGTCCTCAGGGCTAAATGCTCTATTGTGAATGGCATTGTTAGAACAGGAAAGGAGGTATTGACTGTGGCTCCTTTCCATGAACTGTCAGGCTAGGGAAATGAAAATGCCTTCATTCACTGAGGGTCAAGGTCAAGGCTGACGGGCTTTGTCACATTGCACAAGTGTGAACAGTAGCATAGCAGATTAATTTGCTAGTTTTTAATTGTGCACATTAGGCATAGTGCAGTCTTTACACCTAAGCCATATATAAATGAAGTAATAGAGCTTTCAGAACCAATTCTGTGAAATCTTAAATTTGGACAAAGCGGGACACAGGTTACTTCTTACTCACCTTAATGTAGTACTCAACAAAGACAGTTCTGAACCCCAGCCTGATCTTAGCTGGTTCCACTTTGGTTCCTCCTTGTATATCACACATTCTCATACCAACAAATGTAAGCAATACTTGTGTTTCATACTAAAGACCTGACTTGCATCTTCCTTTGTGAGTACTTGCTATCATCTAACCCTGTTAGTTGTTTCCAAACTTATTGTTTACTGCAACCCATGGTAAGAAATACATTTCACATTGTGACACAGTATGTGTACATGCAACGTGGTATGTACATGTGTGTATGTATGTGAAAGAAAGAGATTTAAAGAAACAACTAAAGCAAAAGTTTCTGACACAATACTTACTTACTCTTTCTGTGAGGGTTGCATTCCAATGTTGTCTATTCTCTATTTCTTTTTAAAGTGCTGCTATCTTTTACTGATTTCATGACCTAGTAATTGGTCACAACTTGAATTTGAATATCCTTGGAACAAAACTCAAAATCATAAAAAAAAAAAAAAAAAAAAAAAAAAACCCAAAGCCCAAGTCAACCTTGTGGTAAAAGAAAACAAAACAATTTGTAGCCAATTCAGAAATTTAATTTCTAATTAAAGTTTTAATGAGGGGGTTAAAAAAAGGTGACTTTTAATAGTTCCTTAATATCTAGAATAGGTTAATTCCTTAAAAGTTGACTAAAAATGTTATTCTATGTATTTCATCTTTTTTCCCTTACTGAGTTACATAAAAAATCAAGAAGATTTCTTTTGTAGTAAAAAATATTCAGCATGTGTTTGACATAAGTCCACATAGGCTGTATTTTAACAGTTTTCCCATAAGACTCAGAAGTTCTATTCTTTTGTAGAAGGTCAGTCATGTGAGTTATTGCAGCCAAGAGAATACAGTAGAGTCGTTGTCATGGGCGGTGGTGGTGGGGAGGAGGAGACAGAGCCAGGCCCAAGAAGTAGAAGCTGACAAGAAAGCATATTTTACTTCAGTATAAGGACAAAATGAGCTTGGAGAAGTCGAAGAGGCAAAGCAAAGACTGAGTGACCAGAGAGAGAGATTCCTGCACTAGTAGGAGGGCTAGTCTTTCTTGCCTCTAACAGAATTGCTTTAAAAGTACTGTTTCATTACAAATGGTTTCAAACCAAAATGTACAGAAAATACTATAGTAATTTAATAAACACCTGTCCTAGATAGAAACATTTTGCATTTTGCACTCCAGGTTTTGTTTTGTTTTTGTTTTTAAGTAATAAAGTATTGCTGATATAATTAAAAGCCCATCCCATCATCCCTTTCCCCTCTCTCCCCCAAAGGTAATCACAGTCCTGGAGTTGTATATATCAATCCCATGTATATTTTATACTTTTGTTACACATGTTAATAGATGTATAAATAATATATTGCTTTGTAGTTTTTTAATGCATATAAATGGGGAAATATATATAGTATGATGTATACTTTTACAAATTTTTCATCATTCAGCATTATATTTTTGAGATCTAGTTCATGTATTACAAATGCTAATTGGTGGTATCCCACTGAATGAATAAACCAGTTTATTTTTCTATTCTAATATAATTTCTGGGAGCTCTGGTGGTATAGTGCCTAAGGCATTTGACTGCTAACCAGAAGGCTGGTGGTTCAAACCCACCAGTAACTCCTCGGAAGGAAGGTTGGGCAATCTACTTTCTTACTGATACCGCCTGGGAAACCCAAGGGGGGTC